AATACAAGTAAAACAAACTCAGTTTCTTTGGTAACTCAAACAGGGAGAATAGTTGTTGTCAAGTGTTGATGACTGCTGGTGTGTCACTTAAAACGTTGTGGTGGGTCACCTTTGACACGTGTGACATAGGTTCGCCATCACTGTACTAGACTGATCATTTAAAAATAACGCTGAGTCTTAAAATAGTAAACCAAGCTAAAATTTAACACAACACAAGCACATCTAGTCTTTAAAAAGAAAAGCTGGATTGGGGGATAGGGTGGATGTCAAAACAAGTAAGACAGCAGCTGTGACAGTGTGATCCAAGCCCCATGACTTCTCTAGGTGGGTCAATGTTGCACACATGTTCAAAGGGGCAGGGTTTTGATCATAATGCTGCAACTATCTTCTTGTCTGTTTTGATCCCACCTCACCCCACCCATGGCTGCCACAGAAAAAGAATCAAAACCACTACTATAGCAAGATGGGTCATCAGAGTGCATTATTGGTATAGGTTGTTGAAGAGGTACTCCTAACATTTGCCTCTACCAGCAATGGAGGACCTATGGCTCTTCCTGTACTGCTGACCTACAGTTTCTAGTAGTCATAGCCAATGGGCCAATAGGGAGATTATTGGGTATTATAACTCAGTAACATCTGGAAGGTAGGCTTCCCTACCCCTGGCCTAAATAAAGCGATTTCCTCTGTTTTTTTATGCATGGAAGTACATGCAGGAAGAGTTTAGCTGTTCTGGTTGTTCTTTTTGCTTTCTTTTCACAGCAAACAAATTCATAACAAGGAAAAGTTCACTTTATATTATTTCCTGAAAAACTGGACAATTTAGTTATAATCAATAATAACACTACAGCAGTTAACATGCTGTTACAGTGTCCAGCAGCATTACACATTTTAAAAACGGCAACAGAGATTTCAACATCCTACTGTATCACAGCAATGTGCAATTTGTGTATGTGCACGTTTGCTGAAGATATACTGTATATTGTGCATATCTTGAACTATAAGTGAAACCAATGCCTGCTAGAAAACCCATGTTGAAAATATGCCAGCAGGAAATATCATTTTTGAGTAAAGACAAAATGCTCCATTACTTTGTACTGCAATTACACTCCAGAGTGAGCTACTGATTATATTGGAGCTGCCCTTTTCAGTTCCTATAAAGAAAATCACAAACTGTTGAGCTATCTAAACAAAAGGTTTTATGGTCAAATCCAATCCAATCCAATCCAATCCAATCCAATCCAATCCAATCTTTATTATAGTCATAGACCAGCATAAAGGTTTTGTGTATTAAAATAATGAGAATTAAAAATGGAAGAGGGATTATATCAAGTATTCATCTACAACAATATCAGATATTTTTATCAGCTATTTTAGTATCCATAGATCTGGTATAATTTACAGTCTTTAAATATTCAGCTTCTATTCGAATTTTCAAAATTCCTTTTATATATATAAAAATAGTTCCAGCTACCTTCTCTGTGGCTTACCAGATCTCAGTGTATGTACTGGATTCTTAAATGGATCTATAGCATTTCTGATTTTGTGTATAATTCATTAAAATGTTAATTTGCCTAATGAAGCACAGTTAGAGAACTAAAATTACATGATCAATATTTGCAGTGACTTCAGCCTTTATTAATTGTTATGCACAGTATGTAGTTCATGACTTTTTTCCAATAAACCTTGAACAAAATGAGCCATTTAGCACATTTTTTAATGACATGGACCATACTTTTCCTAGTTTTAATGAAGAGGTGAACATATAAATGTTTAAGTTAGTACTGGCATACCGCATGAAGTAAAATGGAGATTTATAGGAAATTACTGTGATTACTTTCCATAAAGATGAATGGTGCAAATTTGCAAAGTCTGATTCTAACCCATTACTGAATGTAGCACTTTTCCTGTCACAAGAGAAGAAAAATCTTTGCTTGTGAAATGTTCTATGTAATTTCTACTTCTATTAAAAGTACTTATCTATGTACAGCAGACTATTCTAAAACTAGATGAAAATGCTGAATTCCAAGCTTAGGGAGAGGCTCTGTCAATCTGTTCCAAACCCTACCATCAGGACTTAATATGGATTCTGAGGTTTTTTTCCTGATAGTCAATACACCTGCTTTTGTGTTTTATATCTGCTATAATGTGTAATACATACTTTGACTTGTATATATATTTTAGCTAATAGGATTATTAATGTTTTCATTACTCAAAAATTTAAAAGTTATTCAGATTAATATAACTCAGCTCTGCCAATTGCAATACAATACAAATATATAAATTAAACAAACATAATCCCTTTCCTATAATTCAGTACATTTTTTCCCATTCCAGTAATTAGTTTATAGGATTACTTTTCAACATGGTGTAACAATACAAACAGTTTTCACTCAAAACACTATCAATGGTGTACTTTGGGAAAGGTGCATTTAACAACTAAAAGAAATAAATGAAATTCAGATTAATATTCTATAATTTTGAAACAGAGAGCCAGTTTGTGTAGGGGTTAAGGTATCCATAGTTCTAGCCCTACCTTAGGCATGAAGCCAGCTGGGTGACCTTGGGCCAGTCACTTTCTCTCAACCTTAGGGAGAAGGCAATGGCAAACCACTTCTGAAAACTGCATGGACTAGTCCAGGCAGTTGCCAGGCGTTAACACTGACACAATTGTTGTGTCAGTGTTGTTTCAAAAGTTTCAAGTACATTTGTTCTGAGTGCTTTACTTACATGGAGATATGTTAACTCACATACTTACTATACTTGAAAACTGAAGTTCAATATCTGTGCAGAGTTCAAGATACTAATAATAGGAAAGTTTGCAATTGGACACTTTTTCTGTTATAAAAGGACTTTTCTTCTTACAGATTTTATTTTTAACAACAACAAAAAACCCCTCATTTCATTAATTAGCAGCCAATTAAGGTTCATACCTGCCAATTTCTGCTTTAAAATACCTTCTGAGATTACTTGATTATTTATGAAACAATCCCTTAGTCTAAACAAGTTTTGCTGCCTCCACACATTACTGGATAGCCCTGCTAGGTTTTTGGGGAAAAGCCATGACCCATAATTGGCATTAATGGGGAGGAACATTCCCCCCCCCCCCCAATATTTCCAAATCCTCAGAGAACAGTTGAGAGACTTGTTAATACTTGTTGGATTTACCCATTTTATAACTCTTGCTTTCAGAAAGGGTATCAAATCAATCAATTTGATTTATCAACCACTTAGTCTCCATTTGTGCCCACTTTCTATATTTCAAATTTTCCACCCAAAATAAAAATTGTCTAAGTTGTATAATATATTTATATTATAGGTATAATATAAATGTATATTCAGGAAGCCCCAACTCCCTTTTTGTAATTTCCAAAATACAGTAGTAGTTGTTTTGTTATTCTTGGTATTTTTCTATCAAACACAAATAATTTTATAAACATTTGTTGCCAGGAGTTCAAGACCTTGGAATTCAAATTCATAGGTATAGTATGGAAATAAAAAAACAATTTTGGATAACTTTAGGGCAGCTATTTTGCCCAGAATAGATTAAGTAATGACCATTTCCTAAATTGTTTTTTGATTGCTTGCAACAATGGGTTATAATTTAGCACACCCTAATTTACTGAGATTTTTGGAAATATTGATTCCTAAGTATCTTATTTACTTTTGACAGATATTAATGTCATATTGCTTCTTAATTTCTTTCTGGATCTTAGAGCCTATATTAAGCACTTTTGTTTAATTAATTTTCAATTCTGCTAGTTTTCCATAATTATTTCTTGGATAATAATTGGCAGCTCTTTGGTTGGTTTAGATAAGATCAGCACAGTATCATCAACATATACTTTCACATCATGGTCACATAAAAATTCACTGTTTATCAACTGCTTATTGTTTTGGATCCTCCATAATAGCAGCTCTACAGATAGTGTGTATATATAGTAGGGGACATAAAAGGGCATTCCTGTCTTGCCCCTTTATATACCTGGAACCTTTCTGAGTCTAAATTATGAGTCCTTACAGTGGCCTTCACAGTGTTACACAATTTAAGTATAGTTAAGCAAAAATTTTGACCAAAGTTATATTTATTCAAGATTTTTTTCTAGAAAAGTCCATTCTAACTGATCAAAGATATATCAAACTGATATACGAGAAAACTTACCTTTGATTTAATATGGGAAAGCATTATCCTTTTTGCAAAACATAATAAGCCAAATTCTTTTCATTTCACCTCGTACATGCAAAAAGATTTTGTTGGAGTCTTGATTTGTTCTTAGATCTTTTTAATAAGGTTGTTAATTCTGCTGTGATATTTTTAAATTTTAACTGCTGTCTTTTACTCTCTGTTATTGTTTTTACTGTATACTTTATTATCTATTGCCAAGTCATATGCCCATCACCCTGTATCTGTGGTTTGATTTGTTTTCTATGCAAAACAAATGAATTAAAATAAAACAAAATAAAAGGACTTTTCTTGTACTGTAATATCTATCGGCTTACTCTGACTGGCTTACCTAAAACGATAAACCATTTCTGTGTAAGGAATATGTGAGCTCAATGGTCCAACTGCCATTAGGCAGACATTAGGAAAG